CAAAAAGAAAGTTAAAAAAAGTAAATTGAATTCTGTGGGAAAATAAACATTTCTTCTAAAAATATGCTCTAAAGTTGGAAAATGAAACCAAAAACATCTGCTTCCTGGACAGAAAGGAGAATTTTAAATTGCTAGACAGCAGCAGGCCACCCTAAGGCAGCGGGGTCCCAGGTTCCTGTGCCCAAGGGGGAGTCCCAACCCTCCCACCTCTCCCCTGAATCATCTCTCCGACTAACAGGTACCTCAAAACAGAGGTGAATCATAATTTTATTATTTACTGTCCTGACAACACTTGAAGTAATTTGCTTTTGACTACAATAAAAGGGATGCTTACTAATCCCCTCTAAAATGAACTACCATGAATTACTGTTTTAGTCACATAGTTACTGATTTACTTTTTCTAGAGAGAGAGGGGGAAAAAATGGTCATTATCACCCATCATAAGGAAATGCAAACAGATGTTGATGAATTCCTTTGATGGAGGCAAAACGGGAGGAGAAATGATTAATTGCTCTTTAAGAGAATGGGTTCCTCACACTGGCTTGCAGGTCTGAGAAGAACTCTGCAAGAAATCCAGGCAGCCTCATGCCGACTGCTAAGAACAGTCCAGCAGAACATGGAACCCCCATCAGACCTGCACAGTTAGGAGCTTAGACGACAAGCAAAGAATATTCTCTCCAGATCAGCTAGCCTGGCTATCAGGGGTTTAGTACATTCTGTTATCTCATATGGATACACACCAGCAGGGGGTAAGGCCTGCGCCTCCAAACTCTAATGCAGAACTTTGGAGGACAGATTTGGGTCTGGACAGACCTGCAGGGCTGACAGGAAGCCTAGAGCTGGGCCTGTGTTGGTCTGAAATCACAGTCAGGGAAATAGCAAGAAGGGAACAAAGAAGCCCGATGACTAATCTGGACTGGGTTCTGACTTCTCCTTGATGTCCTATTGATTGGGTCATGGCTTTTCAGGCCCATGTTGAAGGGCCTGTTGAAGGGCAGAGAAGTGGCTCAAGGAAACCTTCAAGGAAAAGATCCTCACTGTCGTCTCTGGCCTCAGCAGAAATGCCTGCAGTGCCAGAGCTCCTAGAGGCTGCTGCAACCTCAGCATCCAGCTCTGGACCACTGGCTGATGCCCGGATCACTGCAGCTAAATTGTGAAAGCAGCACACAGCAGCAGTGATGTTTGGCAAGGTTGTCACCAAAGGCCTGTTCAGGTCCCCCTTGCACACCAAGCAGTCTAGGAACAGAAAACAGGGCTCTGGAGACAGAACTTCGTCTTCCACACCCCACTTAACAGCCTCTGAAACCACGCAATCCAACCCGATCCACCAGTCTTGATCCCTCCCATAGCTACTTGCTTGCTCCCTTGAACATCTCCTCTTTTCGTATGAGAGCACACAAACCATTTGAAGCCATCAATTTGCAGTGGCTGTTGGAATCAGTTTCTAAGAAGCCCTTTCTATTTAAAAGACTAATATCTTTGGAAGATTGAATGGACAAGCAGAAGAGGAAACGAACAATAAACCTCATCAAAAGATTAGGGGTAGGGACACTGTCCTGATACTTGGTGCATAGTACTTTCTCTGAAATTCATTGGCAACTGAATAATACGTTAACGAAAGAGCCACATTATGAAGTTTAATGTCTAATGAGGAAGATGAATGAAAAATGGTAAAAATTATGACATAATTGAACTATTATAAACAGGATGCAGATTCTGAGAGCAGAGATTTTGTTAGTTCTGCACTGAAATATTCCCTGAGCCAGAGCAGTGGCTGGCACACGGTAGGCACTCAATAAACATTTATTGAGTGAATGGATGTGAGCAGGCCATAGTGCACATAATCCAATAATAGTTAGAACACGTGCCCAAAGATACTTCTAGCTTCCTGGTGCTAAATACTCTGTGTGGCACATTTTGGAGGTAACCTCACCATCGTTATCACAATTGCCACAGTGCAATCCTTATTAGTCTCATTTTGCAGAAAAGGAAACTAATATGAGGTAAGCTTAAGATGAGCAAGCAGTAAACCAAGTATGTCCCACGCCAAAGCCTAAGCTCTTAACCATCAGGCAGATGGTGGCCAAGAAGTCCTTCCCAAAGGATGGACTGAAGTAGAGGGACAGAGGTAAAAGTTCAAAACAAGAAGGAACATGTACAAAGACTGCAGAAGTAGATGAAGGAGAAGAGGAAACATTTTGCAGTTAAAACCAATGAGTTTTATTAACTTTTTTCATCCCTGAAATCCTCTCTACTTTTGGACCTGTGCATTCAGGGGAAAGCAGGGGTAACTCAACAGACTACATTTAAGTAGGGCAACTCTCTCTTGTTCCAGTGATTTGGGCCAATCCCTAGCAGTTTTCAGTTCAGAATAACTCCTCTGGAACCTTCAACTGATCAAAGGTGATCTAAGTAAAAAGCCACAAGGAAAGTCCACTCTGAAGTTCACCTCCTAGTCTTCTCAAAGAGAGAGGAGAAGTCACCACTTCCAAAACACACAAGGATGAGAGTCAAGTGATGTGCCAAAGCAACTCTACAAAGTGCTTTACAATTCCACACCTGGAGTCCCAACTTCCAATCCTAAAGGCTTCTTCGACTGACTGAGGAAATTAAGAAGTGAATTCTAGACCTTTTACTCCCATGCATATAGGATCATGACTCACAACGCTCTCAATAGGATAAAGGAAATGCTGTTCCCTTCACTTATCCTCATGGACCAATGGAGAAAAGGCATCTAGGAGGAGCACATCATTCACCATGCAGGGAAAAAAGGAAGGCAGCAAGAATAAAAGCATTGACATGAAAATGGGCTCAGCGTATGCAGCAAGGAACGCCATGTAGCTGGAGTTCAGAGATGAGAAGAGGGTGGGACAGAATGAGCACGGTAAGACAAGGGGGGGGGGCAAATCAGGTATGGTCCTGTAGGGCCACCGTAGAGACTGGGAACAACAAATGGAATGAGATTCCATTGGAAGTTTTCAAGCAACAGGGTGCATGAACTGACACTTGCTTTATAGGTTTACTCTAAATTTCATCAAAATGGATCCAGGCTGGTTGTCACTTTACCTGGGCCAAGACATACATAACAGGTGCCATTGGAGAAAGACAGAATTCATTCAGCAGAGTCCCACAAAAAAACAAGTAGTAAACACCTCCGAATGACGCTACCTGTACTTCTAAGAATGTGCCATCAGTAAGACAGACCACTTTATCTAAAACCCAATTTCCCCTCACCCTTTTTCATTCCCTCCATGTACATGAGTAAAGGTATTATGCCCTGGCTCAAAAATCAAGGTCCGTGTTTCAGGGAGACCAGGGAGAAAGTATAAACACCCTATGAACATTTACATTCTGGCAATGAACAGAAATCCCACCAGCAAGAGAAAACAGCAACCCATGTCTAGAATCAGGAACCTCCCAATCACTTGGTTGGTCTGATATGTGAATGATTTGGACTGACCTAGGGGAGCCAAGACATTAAAGACTGGTCAGCTTGACTGTCAATCGCTAACCAATGAGTACCAGGAAAACACTATCTCAGCATCCAACATACCAAAGTGAGTCCACGTGAGGCTATATTTGTGGCAATACCATGCCAGAAATCTGGGCTAATCTGCCTCTGCTATTCATAAATTCCCCCTCATGTTAAAGCACATGTGTTTGGAAAGGAAAAAACGAATCCAAGTCAATTTTAGACATTGTTACTTGGAAACCATCTGGAGTCCCTGGAAGCATAAGAAGCCACCGCATCCCCTGCCCTCAAATGCCCACTGTAACTAGGGCAGTATGCTTGGATGGGAGTTTAGATGTCCCCTATTCCCCAGGGAAGTCCCCACCCCCACCCTACTAGATGCCAGTTCAAGCTCCACTTCCCACCCAAGAAAGGTATTTTGTTTCTTGGTAAACCTAGTGGAGAGCCTCTATGTGTTGAGCTTGCACTTGAATTGCACCCAAGGCTGGGTTCTTAGCTTTCAGATTGTTTTAGAACTGCACACCTAAATTCCTTTGCCACAGCATCGGTGGGAAATCCTTCCCCAGAAGCTAAAGCACCATTTAAAAAAAAAAAAAAAAATCCCCTCTATCTAATATTCCTGTGTTCAGGAGAATGTCTGGCTTTGGAAGAGACCCACCAGAATCCTTATGTAACCTTAATAGATGTTGGCATCCCGCAGAGCTGCTCCTGGAGACACTGGCCCAGATGCAGCCCATTTTCACCATGATGAGAGCAGCTTCAAGGGGCCTTGGTTTTCTGTCCCCCTCTCCTACCTGGTTTGGAGCTTCTGCTTACCTCATCTTCCAAAGGAGTCGGACCTCCCTTTCTGCAGCCTCTCTCTCTCTCTACACTGAAATCAGTCTAAGGAGCAGCGCCATGCCTACCAGCACCTTCTCTTCCCTCCTACCCTCCCCCTCTCCATCCTCTCCCCACCACCACCAAACGCTTTAAGAAACCTGGCCAGGAAAGTGATCCAGAATCTCGTACTGCCATAGTCCCTGAAAACAAACACGGCGGGAGGGGCAGGCCCATCAGGCCCAACACTTCCCCTGGACCCCCAAGCAGCCCTCTACTCGGCGCAAGGGAGGGGAAGGATCTCGGGGAGACCGACTGCGGTTCCGCTGCTTCCAGCACAATCAGAGCAAACACCTGTTTCCAGGAAGATACGCGGCCAGAGGGAGAAGGGAGTCCCGGGGAACGGCAGGGAGGAAGAGGTGAAGGGGCAGCTGGGGACGCAGGTAAAGGATGCGTCACACTTTACGCTTGGCAACCAGAGCCCCGGACAGGCAGGCAGCGAGCGGGAAGGACTCCGGGGTCTGGAAAGTTCAGAGAGGAGGGGTCGCGCCTGGCCAGCAGAGCCCAGGAAGGGGCCGGCGCGGAGGAAGGGACAGCGAGGAGAGACCAGAGGGAGGGAGGGAAGGAGGCCAGGCGGGCTCCATCACCTGCGCGCCCCGGCGGATGCAGCCTCGCAGGGGCGCACCAGCCCGCCTGCCTGCGGGTGACCTACCTGCCCACCGTCTGGTTGGCCAGCTGGCGCATGCGATTGAACTGCTTCTTCATCGTGGCCCCGCTACCGCGCTCGCCCGGGAGCTGGGGAAGGACGGAGCAGCCCGGAATCCGCCGCAGGGTTACATGGCTCCCGCGCGGAGCCTCCCGGGCGACGGCAACGGCGGCGGCACTGCGGAGCCTCCGGGAGCCGTCTGGCCCGCGAGCGGCTCCCTCCTGAGGGCACCACCGCCTACTCCGCCTGCCGCCGCGCCGCCTCCTGCCGCATCCTCCTCACGCGCGCCGCGATGCCCTCATAGCAACGCCCGGGGCCGCCCTCGGCGCCGGCCGGGTCCTCCCCGGCTGCAGCCCCCAACCCCAGCCGGCGAGCGGACCCGGGAGTCTCCGCAGGCAAGCTGGCTGGCTGGCCGGGTGGTCCCCGTGCGCCTGTGCGGAGAGCGCCGTGCATGCTGGGACTTGTAGTTTGTGCCCACCTTTCCTCTGTCCAAAGTTTGCAAGGGCAGTGAAGTGTGGTGAAGGAGGCTTAGCCACCGGCTTTGCGCTTTTCCATTTTTAGTAAAGTATATATACATTATATACATATATATTATATTATGCAATATTATATATATATATTTATTTTAAAATAACAAAGTCAAACCAAGAATGCAATAGCAAAAAACAGGATGAGCATGTCTCTTATTGCATTCCAGGGAATGTGAGGCAATCCTGTTCCAATTCACAAGGGAAAGATCTATGCTAGCGTGTACGTGGCTTATTAATAAGGTCACCTCATTCATGTTGGGCAGGATTAAATTTGGGGCACAGGGACTGACGGTAGGTTTCGAACCACGCATAATATTGTATCCCAAAAGTGTCAGCCTTAATTTTCACCAAACCCAGTAAGTAACCAGAAACCAATATAGAAGAAAAATGTAATCACAGTGGCAACGTGTTTACCTGGCTAACTTGACAGAGACAGCTTTGCTATGTGGCTTAGATTCTGGTCCCAGAACTATTCCCACCACCCTGCCACCACCAGAAGACGAAGTGGCATTAGATGCAGCTGCCCCAGAGCTTTCTATGCTGCAACGGATTGGCATCCGTTGTCTCTTGTAAAGGGGTGGTGGCTTTCTTCAGGTATTATCCTTAGGAAAAAAATTCGTGGTTGCTGTTTGATGTTAACTTTGTTTATCAAGTAATAACAGTATTGTTGGGTCAAACTTGGGTCAAACAGATATGAGTTCCCATATTAGAATTCCCACCTACCTGTTACATAACCTTAGGAAAATTGCTTAAACTCTCTAAGCTTCAGTTTTCTCATCTCTAATGGAGTAATAGTGCTGCCTGTTAGGTAGCAAAGAAATAGAACTATTTGTTAAATTACCAGTAATCAAATTACATATAAATTACTGTGTAGTATATTGTCACATTCATCTACAACAAATATGATGCTAATTAGCATAATAGAGAAAAATTCTATTCCTACAACAGAACTCCTATTCTGATGAATGAGAGAATTTTTTCAAAATGGGATATTTTGCATATGTTGATTATAGTTGCAAGATGTCCTAAATATGGCTCTAAGGATCTTGCTGGCCAGCTGAACAAAAGATGGTTTGAGGCATGTCTTGGCTGAGTGAACATGAAATCTTTAATTAATTGTGAATTTAGCCTCTGCTTATTAGGTCAGGCAGCTCCAGCCAATTAACAAGTGAAGGAATTATTTGCTTTTAACTAATTTTTATGCCTATAATGTCAATATAATGTTTATACAAACTGAAATTCTTTTAATATTTTAAAAATGATTTTATATGCATAAATAATAGTGAGACGCTAAAGGCACTGTATGATTTTTAGCAACACTATTCCTGGTGATAATTACGTTATCCACTACCTAGCCCCTGGCCATATGTGGCTATTAAAATTGAAATTAAATAAAATTTTTTAAAAATTAGTTCTTCAGTCACCCTAACCCTGGACTTAACAATAACCAGTGAATTTTATCCTTCCTATCCCAGGAAAGGAATGACAGTGCATAAAAAGTAGAAAAAGGAATGTCAAGTCTACCCTTTTGATTTTTCAAACCAGGCTTCAGAAACATGTGTAAGAAAATAGAGTTTTTAAAGAAAAGAGTTTTGAGCTTCAGGAATATGAGCTTTGGACTTTTAATTTGATGATGAAGGATGTACTATCTACCTAAAGTACCCACAGCCTGGGCTGAAGATGTAGCTCAGAGGTAGAGTGCTTGCCTATCATGCACAAAGTCCTAGGTTATGCTCCTAGTACCAAGAAGATAAAATAAACCACAGACTGGGGAGTGCTGAAAATGGTGATGGGGGAAATGGAGATGCACAAGAGAAAGGAAGGTGTGTAGATCTATCATTGTCCAAAAATTCCACTGTTTACTGCTATAGAAAAAAATTGTACTTTATGTTCCCACTGAGGCCAAAATCAGCCATGTGATTTTCTTTGGGCAATGAGTATGCCCAAAGAAAATAAGTGGAGGACATAATTTTATGTCTGAGTAATATATTGAGTATGCCCATAGAAGTGATTTATGCCACTTCCAAATTCAAAAGTTTTAAGAGTCACTCTATGATTCTGCTCTTTTCTTTTTTCACCCTACCATAATCCCAACAATGGGTTGGTTAGGTGCTGCCATGGAGCAGAGATTATCCAATTAAAGTGAAAAAGAGTAGCTTGGTTATCCAGTTAGAGTGAAAAAAGTACCGTGGCTGTTCTAAGTCATATATTTAGGTGTTGTTTTTTAGTGCAATATAATTGAGTCCAAGTTGACTGCTGTGTAGGTATCACCGATAAAGTAGCTTGTATCTTATCCCTTCATGTGGTCAATACTTAAGTTGAAGAGGTGAGCTGAAGGCAGACCTATCATAAACCTTTGAAGGATCTGGACACTTTGAAGGATCTGTCCTCTACTTCATTTTTAAAAAAAATTTGTTCTGTTTAGATATCCATGACGGTAGAAGGTATTTTGACATATATTCATACTTATGGTATAACTTATTCTAATTAGGATCACATTCTTATAGTTGAACAAGATGTGGAGTTACACTGGATGTGGATTCATACATGAACATAGGAAAGTCATGTTCAGTTCATTGTACTGTCTTTCCTATTCCATCCCTCTTCTATTCCCTTCATTCCCCTTTGTCTAATCCAATGAACTTCTATTCTTCCTTCCCACCTTCCCCTGCCTTACTGTGTATTAGCATCTACATATCAGAACATTCAGCCTTTGGTTTGGGGGGATTGGCTTATTTCACTTAGCATGATAGTCTGCAGTTCCAGCCATTCACCAGCAAATACCATAATTTCATTCTTCTTGGTGCAACCACTCTGGAAAGCAGTATGAAGATTTTTCAGAAAACGTGGAATGGAATGACCATTTGACCCAGTTATCCCACTCCTTGGTATATGCCCAAAGACATTAAAATCAGCCTCCTATAGTGACACAGCCACATCAATGTTTATAGCAACTCAATTCACAGTAGCTAATCTACGGAACCAAACTAGATTGCCCTTCAACGGATGAATGGGTAAAGAAAATGTGGCACATACACAGAATGGAATATTACTCAACTATAAAGAGTAATACTCAACAAAACATAGCTTCTCACTTGCATCAACAATGCTATATTACTCAGACATAAAATTATGTCCTCCACTTCTTGAATGAAAGCTAAGCTAGGAGTGGCCAAGCTCACAGAGATCCTCTGCTTTCTAAGGCACAGTAAAGTTGTCTACACCACAGTCCTGTGATAGCTCCAAGGTTCCTGCACTAAAGCCAAGTGCAATGATTGTGTGTGTGTGTTTGTGTGTATACACACATACACACACACGCACGCGCGCGCGTGCAAGCATGCACGCATCTGCCACAACGGTTAACAAAAGTACCTGAAAATGGATGTGAAAAGAAAGTTGTTTAGGTCAAGGATGGTCAGGAAGCAGTAATGGCAAAGATGTATAATAAAGAAGCCCCAGTTGCCTGGGATTTAATTTCTTCTATCTAGAAAATAGACTTAAAAGCTAACTTCATTTTCAAAGGAAAAAAAGGAGAAAAGGGAGTAAAAGGAGGAGAAGGAAAACTTTATTTCTTATACACCTGACTTTGACCTATGGGAGGGCTGCACCTTCCTGTACGTACTGACCTTCAGTGTTGTTGCTTTCGACAACAAAACATGGGCTTCTCGCTTGCATCAACAATGCTATAGTACTATTTATCTGAAATTAGTTTCCTTAGAAATCTGATATGCCACTTCAGAGGCCCCGAATAGGAATGGCTTTAGCCTCTTCTTTCTGAGTGCAAGCATTCACTAGAGCTACTCTGTCAGACTCAAGAATCACTAGCTACATTGTGGTTATTTAAATTTAATTTTAAATTAGGTTAAATAAAATTAAAAAGTCAGTTCATTAACTACTATTAACCATATTTCAAGTGCCCTATGATCTGGTGGCTACCATAGTATACATAGTATAAAATAGAATGTTTCCATCATTACAGAAAATCCCATTGGGCAATGCTGTGCTAAAGAGCCAGATTCAGAATATAGGGGCCAGCAAAAGAATGAAAGCAGAACTAGAATTCAAGCTCGGGCTATCTGAGGTCTTAGCCTCTCCAGACTAATCTTTCCTTCCTTACTTTGTAAGGCTGTATATTACAAGATCTCCAAGCTGTAAGTTTTGGGGAATCAACTAATTGATCAATCCATTTGCTCAATAAATGGTTGTTGATGTAGATATTCCTAAGTCTTAGAGTGTTTACTGCACAAAAACAAAATTCAGAGCTACAATACTACTGAAGAAGCGTATGTGTTTTTTTTTTTTTTTTTGGATCCCAACCAAAATGCATTTATAAATGCAGGCATCGAACTGGCATGATTAAAACATATCTGCTAGTCCAAGGTAACTTTTGAACAGAATGATAGATGTTCCCATCTTGGACATGGTAAATTGCATTATTAACTCCAATTTTCAACCCTCCTTGGATCTATACCCTTGAATGACTTTATCATGGGCAGAGTGTATTTCGTACCTAATATCTTTGTCTTGACCATGAGACTGCTGTAGTCTTGTGTAGCCCAATAGCATACAGGTGGAAGAGACAGGTTGTGCCTCCAAGCTATGCACTAACAGACTCTTCACATTCTCCTCTTGTCCTTTAACACATCTTCCACTGCTATAAGGACCAGCAGGTAGCTGCTTGTCTCTTATCTTTGTCTCCAGAATTGAACACTTCTGGAGCAGGTCTGGTACAGACAGTAACTGAAATCAGAGAAGTAACTAACAAATTGATTCCAGGAGTATTATTTTAAAAATAAAGAAAAGTGAATACATATGAAATAAGAGGAAAAGAAAGCTAAAACATGTAAAACTAGAAATGAGAAAAAGGATATAATAGACACACAT